CTATCAATATGATGATGATGAATGATCATCATTAATATCACTATCAATATAATAACTATTGTTATAATGTTTATTATTATTCTTATTGCTATTACTATTATTATCATCATTACTGTTGTTGTTATTATTATTACCATCCTTATGTTAACTGCTGTCAAAGTAATGATGATAATAATAATAATATCATTATTATTAATATAATAATAATAAAAATGGTAATGATAATGATGATAATAAGAACAGTGATTGTTATCATTATAATAACATTTAGTGGTATTTGTATCAGTGTTGGTATTACCATTACTTTTATTACTGTTATCATTTTTATTATTACTATTATCATTACCATTATTACTATCATTATCATCATCATCATCATTGTTGCGACCCTCTTCATTATCACTTTTAACACTATCATTCATGGCGATAACCGTCATAATGTAGTAACGTCTCATACCTTCCAAAATTTACCAGTCACGATACCTTAGCCATTTCCAGCCCGTCCTATCAGCTGACCTAAAATCTCAAATCCTCAGGGACTCCCACACTTTCTCAGCCAAATCCGAGATCTATGGGGAAATTGAGGTTTATCGAAGGAGTTTCCAGGAAAGCGTGACGTCTGGTGTCGGAAAACAGGTACAGGACACGCTGCTCATACCGAGGATATGTAGGCCTACTATTTATTATTTTTTAAATCTTTTAATGTAGACTCTTTAGTTCGTATGGATTTGGAAGAGGTACACCTAGTGTATCTACTGCATTCAGTTGTATGAATCATGATCTATTTCACTGGAATTAGTGACTAATACTATTGATAATGAAGATAGTATGAAGTGCTCTATCAACAACCATTACCATAAAGATCGTAAAAAATACCTACAGGAGCAACGGCATCAACAAAGAAACAGGAGGAAAAAGAGAGAAAGAAGTAAATGGTAAACGCGGAAATGATAATGATGACCTTGATAAGAAAGCATTGCAAGTGCAAAATGGAACTGATGATATTTCCTATTATTTTTTTCTTACGTTTGCTCACATAGAATACTACAGATTACATGAAGAGGTATACTATAAAATTATGAATAATTATTAACTCAACTCCTTCATCTACTTCAAATATTCTTTGTACTTCCAAAAGCAGATATAAAACGAATAATGCATAAATACAAATAAAAATACGACCACTCAAAGCAGGGTCACCCCCACGCACCCGCTCATGACGTCACGCCAGCATCCGGAGGCATGCGCGAACGAGAGTGACTCATTCATTCCTGAAGACTGTCTTGTGAGTAATGTCCTTGCCTCCTTGACGCAGTGTCTGAAGAACTGTTGTGCGTGTGGTTTTGATCTGAGAGATTTTTTTTTTTTTACTTTGGTTGTGAAACGGAAGGGAATCCTAACTCTTTATTGACCTTCTTGTTTTTAAATTACTGTCATACGCATGACTATCAAATTATTTTGGTTTTTATTACCGTCATTATCATCGCTATCAGCATCATTATTGCCTTTCGTTATTATCTTGCTTCTTACGATTATCAGTATCTTCATTATTCTATCCTTTTCATCATTATCATTATTAGAGAAACAGTACCATTATGAATACTATCTTTATTATCATTATTATAATAGTAATTAGGAAATAGGAGAAATAAATATGTTTACATACATATGCACTGTATGCACGTATTAATACATATGGATATATGCATTAACAAACAAAATAACGATGATACTTGCATTATCATTATTATAATGGTTATGGTCATAACACGAATAATCAAAGCAATGACTTATATGATAGCATAAATGCAAACCGACCCAGACACCAAAGATAGTATAACTATGACTTTATGTATGTATATATATTATATTATATATATATATATATATATATATATATATATATATATATATGTGTGTGTGTGTGTGTGTGTGTGTGTGTGTGTTGTGTGTGTGTGTGTGTGTGTGTGTGTGTGTGTGTGTGTGTATGTGTATATATATATTATATATTATATATATGTATATATGTGGTGTGTGTGTGTGTGTGTGTGTGTGTGTGTGTGTGTGTGTGTGTGTGTGTGTGTGTTTGTGTCGTGTGTATGCCTGTTTTAATTTTGCGCGTGCGTGCGTGCGTGTATATATGCAAAAAAGAAAAAAGAAAAAAAAAATACATATTTATGTGTGTGCGTGTGTGTGTGTGTATGTGTGTTATGTGTGTGCTGTGTATATTTGTTTGCTTTTGTGCGTACGAATGTGCTTGCGTGCGTGTGTGCTTGTTTATGTGCGTGCATTCGTGGGTATGTTTGTTTGCATGTGTTTATTTGATTGTCTGCCTGTTTGTGTGCGTGTGCACCGAGTGTGCCACGCCATGAACAGCTGCAGGTCCGCCGCCGCCGCGCGGGCTGGCTGCCTCTAATGGGGACGTCATGATCACTGATGTGCGCCGAAGGCTTTGGCGGGGCCGAGGCTACTGGTAGGTGGGGGGAGAGGGTGTGAGGGGGGGAGGGTGTGAGGGGAGAGGGAGAGGAGAGGGAGGGAGAGGAGAGGAGAGGGAGAGGGAGGGAGGGGGAGGGAGCAGAAGGAGAGAGGAAGGAGGGAGACGTAATCTGAGGGGAGGAGGGAGGATGAGAGGGAGAGGCAGGGAGGAGACGTAAATTGTGGAGGAAAGAAAGGAGGGAGGAAGGGTGGGAGTAGTAAGGGGGAGAGGAAAGGAGGGAAGTCGGGGAGGGGAAGGAAGGGAAGAAGGGAGCAGGAGAGTGAGGGAGGAAGATGGGGAAAGAAACGGAGGGAGGGAGACGTAAGCCGGGGATGGGAGAGAGAGAGAGGAAAAAAGTAAAATTAAGGAAAGAAAGAAGGGAAAAGGAAAGGGAAAGAGAAGCAAGGAGAAGGGGAATAGGGAATAGGGGAGCAGAAGGGGAAGAAGAAAGGAAGAAGGGATGGCAGAGGGAGAAAGGGAGAAGGAAGGGATTGAGGGAAGGAAGGAAGGAAAGAGACAAAGCGTGATGGAGAAAAGGCGAGAGGGAAGGAGAAAGGGAGAGGGTGACGGAAGCAGGGGAAGAAGTGGGAGAAGAAAGAGGTAAGTCATGGAGAGATGCAGGAGAGGGAGGGAGGGAAGCGAAGGTAAAATATATATGAGAAGGGGACGATGGAAGGGAGTGGAAAGAGGTAAGTCAGGAAGGGAGGCGAACGGCAGAGAAAGAGGCAAAGAAAACGTGATAAAATAGGAATGGAGGAAGAGAGAAAGCAATACGCCAGTGAGAGTTGGGGGGGGGCAAAGGAAGCGAAGGAGTATGCTGACGGGGAGGGGTCGGAGGGGGGGGAGAAAAAAGGTGTGTCAGAGTGAGGGAGGAGGATGCTTGTCACGCCAGGCTTGTAATGTGTGAATCGCCGAGCAACTAACGCCCATTTGCCTTCACATTTTCCCTCTTGGCTCGTGGTTCTAAGGGTCTAGACAAATGTTTATTTAGACCTTGGTGTTGTTAACACGTTGTATTAGTAGCAGATAATACGTTTTCTGCCTGATGCATTATGCGATGCATAATGCAGTAAGTATAAGTAATATTCAGTATACATGTACGTGTATGAATTAAGTGATGACTAGCTGCATTCATAAGGTCGTGCAAATCAAGATGATTACACACAAAGGATATGAATAATAAAACGCTGAATTGCTTTCACTGTAATATAATATGGGTAAAAGATATTGAAATAAATACCTGGAAGATCAGGCACGCCCCCGCAAAATATACAGCAAACGTCGAAGATCAGAAAGAAACAATAGTCTCCATTGCCTTCTTTGCGTTTTGAGAATCTAATGCTTTGAGAACTGATACACTGGTTGTTCCTGTGACCCAAGACGGGTGTCATATGGCCTGGATATGGATGACTGCGAAAAGGCCTTCATTTTGTGGTTAACGTCCATAACGTCCGTACTTTTATCCATCAAAAAATAGTTATTTCATATTGATACGACAGTTCACTCAATGCCATGGATATTGAAGTCTCTTTGAACAACCGCCGAACTATTTCATGGATGGGATAGGGACTCCCACCCATTTTTTGAAATTGTATAAAGGCTTATCCGCCACAGATGTTAGTGAAGATTCAGCGACTGTATTTGTAGCTTCAAGGGAAACAGGCGCTTGTGCTATACATTCAAAACTAACATTGAAATGGGGGGAAAAAATCTGCGTTCGCGATTGTTTGTTTTACACGTGTTTATAGCCCCCTTCCTTCCCCTCTTGCCCTCCCATCTTCTTCTTTCTTTCTCTTTGTATGTATGTATTTATGTATATGTATGTATGTATGTATGTATATGTATGTATGTATATATGTATGTATGTGTGTTTGTTTGTTTTAAACTGGATTATTTTGTTCTTTAGCATGTTCATTACTATCATTAAAAGCTTTCGATCGCCGTTAGTTTATTACTTTAATTTGTAATATTGACTTATTGCATTTTTTGTCGCGTCTACATCTACGTCATTGGCGCCGAATTCAAAATACAGCGATAACGTGGTGGCGAATCCCCCAGGCAAGGAAGTTTTGTAGTTTACAAGGCAATGTTTGTGGATTCCCAGAATGGTTAATGCTCAAAACAAATGTGTCGAGAACGTAAAAAAGAAGTTAACTATTACGTCAAAATATGATGACTCATCATATTTTGACGTAATAGTTAACTTCTTTTTTACGTTCTCGAACGTAGAACGCTGTAAGTAAAATATGGTAATGAAAAGGGCAAAGGAGGGAAGAGCAAACGAAGCCGTTCATGCTTGACACAAAGGCAGTCGAGCTTTTGTTAATGTGTCCTTGTATTTGTGTTTGCGTTTGCAGGTGTTTCCAACTATGATGAAATAAAACATGCAGGCTCCTTTTTGCCTTTCTCTTCAGTACCTCCTCAATTCACGCTAGACATCCTGCATTCCCAACAATATTAATAATGAAATATGCAAACGTCAGGTATGATAAAGGGAATGGGGTATGGTAATAATAAACTAATGTATTGGAAACTGATGTATATTTTTTCCTGTGACATTGCAACATTTAGAACAAAAAATATGTTTAATTTCATTTGCTTGTCTATTTAAACTCTTATTCATTATTTTTTTTGCATAGATACAGAAGACCTTCATGTAATATCCTTGGGTCTTGGAGAGGACTTTTGAATTTTGAGAAAATGACATACTAATTAATATCAATTAGTATAAGTAACACGTATACTGGCTGAAACAGAAAGTTATATGTCAAAGTTTATGTCAACCAAACAGTGACTTTGAAACACAGACTATCCCAAAGAAATCTCGCAACTTCTTGAAATGGAAATATTAAATAAAACTATGATTTCTTTCATTTGCAACAGTATAACTTAAATGGTTAAATAAACAATGAAATTTCTGTTCTTGGATGTACTGATAGACCAGCTTTCATACTCCCTGAAGCTGAAGTCATATGAGCATTTAAAGTTGATGGCAGAAACAAAATAAATCAACAGTAAATGTAAATTATGTGAAAAAGCAGAATATATTATTTTCTGCATTTTCACACTTTTTCCCTTAAATATCATGACTACTTTGTTTGTTAAACAATCAATACTGCACTCAAATTTATCTTACAGTCATAACAAAGATAATTCATACGTAATGAAGGACTATAGTATACAGAATTTGTTCCTACAGTATAAGGAGAAGTCATACAGAGTTTGCATATAGAAGTAGAAATAATACACATTTTGACTGAAACAAGAAAAGGATACATCAAATGATCAAAATAGTGTCTTTGATATATATACAATTACCAAAAAAAATGTGAATGTCGATATTCAACTAAAATGATGAATACTTTAATTTGAGGCAAATACTGCATCACAGATACTTCATGTACAGAATACATCATTATTCCTCCAATGTATACAAAAAAGATACATTAGTGAAATAAAGGACTGATATCACATAATACCATTCTTGGTGACTGAGGTAGATCACAGTGTGTTAATTATCATAATCAATGTTTTTATTTAATTTTAATAAGCAAATAATATTAGAAATTATAAACTTAACAACAGTAACAATGATAGCAACAGCATTGCTAATTAGAATCATTTATATAAAATGATAATTTTCTTCAAATGATATATGAATAAAAAAATATAAGTCAAAATAACATTAACATGAAAACAATGCTACTACTCATATCAGCATATTTTACCCTCACTATAACAGATCTTGTTATAATGGATATGCTTATAACAAACAAATTTTGGTGTCATTTCATCAGAAAAGCTGGGGCTCATTCAACTAACAGTGCACTCCCAACATGTTTCCTTTTGCACCTCCTACTGCTGATACATGTCTTCAATTTGCTCCGCTTCAAATGGCAAAGCAGGTTTGAAATTGCTTCTTTCCTTAGATAAAAGCCAAGTGTTTTGCTTTAATATATCATCTTTATATCAAAAACTCATTAATATACTGTATAACTGTCCCTTTTATTGTCCATTAACAATACACATGGACAAATAAGAGAGATAATTATATTATGAAAGTAATATATATAGAGATAATTGTCTCAAATAAGAAAAATAATTTTATAAAAACAAAGTACAGTGTGCAAAAGTATGGTTGTTAACTGTATGGTAGAACTGAACATGCTCAGCATGAGAAAAACAGCCAGTACTCTCACTGTAGGATAGTGGTTTTTGTGTTGTTAAATTTCCTGCTTACATATTTGTAATAAGAATAGGTTTCCTATTGTGATTATTATTACTTTCAATACTAATACCAGCATCAGCAACAGTGGCAGCAGTAGTGCATGTACTACATCTACTGTGTTAATTGTTGCATGTTGTTAGTTACATAAAACTTGTCACCCATGTTCTATGCTTCAAATTATGTTTTGTCCATGGATTGGGGGAACTCTATGATAGCGAATATTAACTAAGACTAGGTAAGGATTTATGTTCCTGACTCCCCAATTATATAGACAGGGCTTTCTCACTTTAGTCTATTGCTTTTAAAACAAGGTATTGTTTTGTTTGAGAAATGAAGCACAAACAAAATCCGTATGTTCTGACTGTTTCAAACTTTGTTGAGCATGTACAAATGTCATTACCTCTTACTTGTAATACAGGATTTGTAATTTTCCTCAATACAACCACTATTTTAAACTTTATTATAAAAAATACATATACTTCTGGTCTTTGGCCATGAGCACTATATATTTACTGCGTATTTCTTATAACATGATACTGTACACCTTCTATTTCAACAAGATTAACATTGGGTGGTACAACATAGGAAGGCACAGACACAGTTGCCTTACCAGCTGCATTCTCATTACCCATTATTCCACTGTCTTTACTTGTCCCTTCCCCTTCTCTCTGACCCATATCCATGTCTATGGCTGTCACTACTGACTCATCTGCACAAATAACCTCCACACTGTCAATCTTCTGTTCCCTTCCATCATCACTACTAAAGTTGTGGTCCTTCAGTAGGTGATGTTTAAGTTTCTTATGGGTAGGGCATCTTAAATGGCACAGATGGCACTGATAACAGCTGGATATTTGTCTGCGTACAATAGCTTCACCTGTGTTCTCTTGTGTGTCCTTTGTACCGTAGTTTTTCAGTCTTCCATGCACAGTTCTTTCATGTGCATATAAATTACTTTGGGAATAAAAGGTCTTGCAACATACTGGACACGAAAAAGGCCTTTCGCCTGTATGAATGCGTACATGTTCAATAACTCTTGCTTTGCTTCTAAAGTTTTTGTGGCAGTGATCACAAGAATATACTTTTGATGGGTTTTTGTGCATTCTGCTATAATGAGCTTTAAGATAGGTCATCGACTTGGTGCAAAATCCACATGCTTCACACTTAAACTGAGGTGCTGCCTGGTTGTGGGCATTGTCAAAATGATTTTTTAAATGGGACTGAAATACAAATTTTCTGGGGCACTTGGGACACTGGAGGGTCTTTTCACCATGCTTCATACTTTTATGCAACAACAGTGAGCCACGGGATTGGAAACCCTTCTCACAAATATTACAGTGGGAATAATGTTCTCTCCTATGAAGCCACAACTGTCCACTACACTTAAACATCAATCCACATACATCACATGGACCACTGCATTGTTCTTGGTGTTTAATATAATTCCTCTCATCCCGATACAGTCGCTTGCAGTGCTCACAACTAAATGGGTACCTATCACAATGATCCTGGTCACTATGTGCACGAGATATGTGATCTTTGAGATTCTGATTCTGTGAATACTGTTTACCACAAATGTCACATACAAATGCCTTTACATTAGAATGTTTTACCATGTGCCTCTTCAGCTTGTGTTTAAAGGTTGCTGTGAATCCACAAATATCACATATATGAGCAGAATGATTTGCTTCTGTGTGCTCCAGCAAGAGCAATGGCGTACTGAACTTTAACATACAATGACTGCATGAACTTATTTTATCATTTTCATTTTTACTGAACTCCTCTTGTGTGGGATCCAAATCTTCATCATCATCTACCTCATCATCTGTAATCCAGTCATTACACCACTCCTTCTCTGTAACTAACTCAATATAAGGAGTGACATTTTCCATTGGCTCCATCACACTTTTTATACCAGCTCTGATTTGTTCTGCATACAAGCTTTCTTTCAATCTGGCTACTTTTTCTTTTTCCTTCAAATTTGGACTTTGTGGTTTAGCTTCTGCATTACCTGAACTCTGCTTTGTTTTGCGTGTCTTTCTCCTGGATTGAGAATTCACACTCACACTGATCTTTTCCTCCCAAAAGTCATCATCGTCGTTCCAGTCAAAGTCACTGTCTTCTCGAGGCTTCTTCTTTCTTCCTCTTTTTGAGATTCTTGGTGGATCTGAAGGACAGTACACATTAGTATCTTACATGATAAAAATAGAAGTGGGCATAAGCAATTATAGTTATCCTAAGCATTTTCATTTTCACACACATTCAATTAAAAGTAGTTAAACAGAAATAATCCTCCAAGGCTATAATTAATTTGAATGGAAACTATATTTTGAGACTTATTCTAATGGCAAAAAACAAAGGGGGGAGATTACAACCTTTTGGAACAGTATCTGCAAGCTCCTTAGTATCCTGGTTGTCTTTCCGAAAGCAGTCCAAATCCTCAACTCCGGCATTATTAAGGATGACTTCTTCTATTGTGTCTCTTATAATGTCATTTTGGAATGTTTTATCCACCTCATTTTGCATTGAAGCTGTCACTCTACTATGTTCTGCTATTTCTTCCAGTGGCCTTCTGGCTGAGACACAAACCTCCTTAGCAAAGGCAGACAGACTATGGCTGACAATGAGTGGAATGTCACACTGAGTTGAGGCTTCACAAGATGATGAATGCAAGCCACAGAATAAGATAGGGAGACTCATGATATCCTGAGAACTGAGATCCACTTGGCAGGATGCACTCTTGTACACAATTGTCCCTGTCTCTGATGTTTCCACCAAGACTGATTCATCTCCAATCTCCAGTTCGCCGGCCACCATTATTTTATTACTGTCCATCACACTGTCGTCCTCCAGTTCCAGGGACAGAATTGGCATGCCTGCATCTCCCATTGTGAATTGATTTCAAGTAAGTTTGACTGAATTAATTACTTAAACTTTAATGACTGTAATTCTCTTTGTACATATTTATTGCATTATTGGTTTCTTGGGCATCCACAAAACTGTTATGTAAAGAAAGGCTTGCAGTCACTGTAAAGGAGCAGTCTGAATGAAGGAGCTTATCAGTCTGCATTTCCTTCTGGGTACACTCTTCTTACTCTCAGTTTCTTAAATTATCCCACAATTTCCTGGAAAAAATAAAAAGAAACATGCTATCGTACTGCTAACTGGGCAAGCTGATTAGTAAGTGATGATGCTAATAACGCTAATAAATAGATGATAATAATAATTGTAACAGTAATAAAGTGCACTTAATAAATTATGCAATTAATGACTATAATAGTAATATTACAGTGAATATATAACAATATATACTGTCATTTCTTGTCCTACTAAGAGATAAATCTTTTTACAAAAATATTACTACTCGACACTTTTCATATTTTGCTCATCATATTACTATTATATCAATAAATACCAATGAAATTAGTGGAACATGAAAAGAACTGGAAATAAACAACAATTTTTGAAACAAGCCTAAGCAAAAGAAAGATCTAACAAAAGATAAATTGGAGGAATTTGATGTTACTAAACTCAAAAAGATTCATAATTTGGAAAATCTATGATGCAATAGCCTTAAGATTTTTTAAAATTCTGAACTTCAGACCAGAAAGTTCTGAAGTTTCCCCTTAAACTATATTGTGTGAAAAGTATTAAAATGCAAAGGCTCACTTCAAGTACATACCCACAAGTCATAATTTCATGTCATAATTTATTGTTACAATTTTTGAAAACTTACAAGACAATATTGACTTTAAAATTTCAAGTTGTAATTTAAGAAAACATTCTTTTTCATACATTTTCACATGATGACCTTTATAACCTTATCTACATGACTGATTACAATCCTGTTACATCTGAATGAACTAATGTATTGGGCAGGATTGTGCATATAAAATGACAATAAAAAAATAATTGTTTGCATGTTTCCAAATTCTGAAAGGGGTTTCTATGTGGTTGTGCTTTCAGTGGCTCAGTTGGCTAAGTCATCTAATAACTGATCTAGTGTTTCAGAGTTTAAGACTCTTCTGCCATGCCTAATTATGACCCCAAATATACTAAGCACAATGGGGAGGTGGCAACCTACAGGATCAGTTATTGAGATTATGTCCCTTGATATCAGCCCACCTTATTTTATTATATCAGGCTATATGGAAAATGTATGTCATATTAGATCAGTATACTATTCTTACAAATACTTCCGTGTAATTACTGAATCATGTTTCTTTTCAATATTTTGTAATGATTTATTGGTTGGCTTGTGTGAATTTAAAGAGATCAAGTTTTTGATGCCAATGGTGAAAGTGAAAAGTCAAGCAACAATTTTCTTACAAATTATGAATGCCCTACTGGAGAAGTGCTCCATTTCCTCAATTCTGTAAAGAATGTGGATGTAGCTTGAACTAAATATTTGATATTTCTAACTATTGTTTGTGCTAAGTGAAATTTCTGGATGGTATACTATCCATAAAAAACTGTCATAACTAGTCAAACGGTTCTACCACTTACTTGAACAGTAGCCATATCTTAAAACATTACTATAACATGAAAAAATGAAAGGGTCTTTTGGTTCAGAAATCTGATTGCCAGTATGCTTGTAGTTGTTGGAGATCTTTAATGTAATCTAAAATATGTGTATTATCCTAAAAACTCTTACCAACTGCTACCATCTATCACATCTATCTATGACATTACTTCCAAAATCAAAAATATCAGTCTTCACCCTTTGCCAAATACTGCAGATGATCTCTTAGGAAATAATTTGTCTTGTATCACAACTCTCCAGCCAGTGTTGATGAGCTGTCATTTGTGAAAAAGTATGAGGGAGGGAGGGAGCCAGCCAAACTAATAATAATGTCATGGAAAAAGGTAAATGTAAAAGTGAAAAGAAAGTTTGAGTACCAGTTTACCAGGTGCACAATGCAATATAAAGTAAAGGTGATTGAAATGAGGGGCTGCGAGAAAAACTGTTGGCAATACTCTCCCTCCAACTATAATTAAGTAAAGGTTTATGATTAAAAGAAACTTTCTGTTTGCTCCTCTTAATTTCAATCATATCTGAGAATGATACCAAGTTTTTTTTTCTGCCAAACAAGCAAAAATTCTTGGAGAGACTCTTACCCCAAAAAACAAAAAGTTTTCCCTTTTTCAAATATCTGCATTTGGTTAGCTTTAGTCAATACCAATTACTTGCCAAATGCATCTTTGCTGAATATATTCATTGTACAGAGTAATGTTCATGCAAACTGAAAACTTTGCGATAAAAATTTCTGACACTGAAAACATAAGATCACCCACAGTTGCATATTTTCAACCCTTACACAAATGCAGCTACATAGGCTATTGTGTATCTACACAAAATTTGTTTAACACATACAATTGGGTCACAAACCAAATTATTTAAGAATGCAGACAAGAACAATCCAGGGCAACTTTTTATGCAATTGCTATCTCAGCCTCTTTCAACATTCATCCACTATGCATAATCTGGAAAGGCAGAGCTGGAGATTTATCTTCTAATAAGTAAGCAGTACAAGCTCTACCTTGTCGGAATATATAACGAAGGATTGATGGCCTTTGTAGTAGCATGAAGTGCTGTTGCTGTGTTCACTTGAGAATGTGTTAATGGGCTGGACATAAAGCAGAAACTTCAAATGCCTCAGAACTGAACACAGCCCAAATAATTACAATAAATTCCTTTTTGTTGACCTATATGCTAGTCTTCTTTTTACCTAACCATTCATCAATACACACATCCAAACTCTATCTTGACAGAAGATATCAGGTGGAAAGTTTGGCTGCCTTTGTTGGATCAAAGGGGCCAATGCATAGCTTGAAACTTGCCACAATCACGTTGGCCTTTTAATTGCAAGCATCCCATCACAGACCAAGGTTCATGAGCCTTTGAAATGAGCCAATGTAATTACCCGAATCTCATTCTAAAAGCAACTGTGGATCTTCCACGGATTTCCCTACATTGTAAAAGCTACTAAGCTCATATATTTTTGGCAAGTATAGTATGGTACTGCTTGTGTGGGAATAGACACTTGTTAATTCCCAATTCTCTGTCTGCATTGAGTGTTTTATTATTGTTGTTGATGGGAGAATTCTTTGTTAACACATTTAGTTGCACTTTCATGTCACTGTTATTCTTTCTACTAACCTTTTACACATGAATGTTTGTCTTCCTTCTCATGCTAGACATTCCCCATTCACCAATGCCTGTAATAAAATGATGAATCAATCTCGGATCTTAAAATAATAATCCTAGTTCTGACTACTGACATATACTTTGATTCTGACATTTGGTCCGCAGACACTATTTCCTCCCCCCAAACTTTACATATGTTCACAACTCGTTAACTTCTTACTAAACAAACAATAAATTAGGTATATAAATTGTCCCTTCACCATCTTTAATCAAATACAAACGCTCTTAAGTACATACATCACATATGTCTTTGTTAAATTATTTCCTTCGTTATTTTCCTATGCGGCTTCCACCTGAATGCCGATCACACAGATGGTCGAGTTCGCCGTGGTCGGAGGACGCGCGGCGGGCAGTTCAAAAGAGTAAAATTCCCTATGCAGTAATATTCGTTTTTTTCTTTCGTTCTGTGAACTATTCTTATTTTTTCTTTATCTGTGGGTGGTGAAGCAGATTAACAGTATAAGGAAAATGTAATATTTGTGTATTTATGAAAGCGATGTTTTCAGTTCCGGACCTCGGTCTACGAAACAACTTAGCAGTTTCTCGCCACACACACCCACAAATGAGCACGCGCGCACACACACGCACGCACTCACACGCAAGGCCTATATAAGTACTTATATAGACCTTGCTGACACGCACACTCGCAAGCACGAACGCACACACGCACGCACCCACACACAAGATCTATATAACTTATATAGACCTTGCCCACACACACCTACACACGCATAGACGCACCCCCACCCACCCACACACACATATATATCTAATATATTATCATTATCATTATATGGTTAACTAGTGAACACGAGTTTTCGAAGTACCCTGGTATAGGCGAGAATGCACACGAAGTTACTCGTCTCCACTTGTAAGCACCTTTGTTGTTATACCCAGTGGCGATTCAAAGGACCTCGTGCGATAAATTGAACACTCGAACCAGGGCATACACGATGGTCATCACGACACACAGAGAATAATTTAAGCAACAATATAAAAACGATTGGGTAAATGGCGACTAAAACCATATTTTCTGTATTTTTGGGAATGACATTAACACACACATACACATTATATAATTTATATTTAAACATATGTATATAATGCATACATACATACATATATACATATATATATATATATATATATATATATATATATAATATATAATATATATATATATATATATATATATATATATATATACACACACACACACACACACACACACACACACATATATATATATATATATATATATATATATATATATATATATATATATATATATATAATAATATACATTATACAAATACGCACACACACACCACACACCACCAACACACATATATTGTGTGTGTGTGTGGTCTAATATATATAGAGAGAGAGAGAGAGAGAGAGAGAGAGAGAGAGAGAGAGAGAGAGAGAGAGAGAGACAGAGAGAGAGAGAGAGAGAGAGAGAGAGAGAGAGAGAGAGAGAAGAGAGAGAGAGAGAGAGAGAGATGAGAGAGACAGAGAGAGAGTCAGAGCAGCGGGAGGGCCTGGAACGTTTGCACAGCAGATAGCGGAAACGGCGTGGCTCCATATCCATTGTGCCCCATACCCCTGGGTTCAACGGGTGTCTTCGGGGTTGCAGTCGACTTTCGAGTGAGATGTACCGACACTTCGGCGTTGAAGGGATGCCTGGGAGAGGGTTAATTCTTCTCTCACTCGAAAGCCTGGATAGCTGAGAATTCGATAGGGTGGGAGTCCACTTTGCTGCAGACAGGAAATAGGGGAAATCCACCTCACCTCCCGGTAAGCATCAAAATCAATCGAACAGAGAACGGCCTTTGGGGGGACCGTATTCATATGCTAGGGTAGTGGGTCACCATCCAGATACTGGCGAGGCTAGCAGAGGATTAAGTAATTCTTGTTGGAATGTGGAACATCCATTCTTCAGCAGGATGAATGGCTGCTACTACTACCAAAGGAGCTGTGGCAAATGGGGGAGGAAGTGGTCGCCCTCTGAAATGTGTGAATACCTGACAGCGGCAAGGTCAGTGAGGGTAGTTACACTTTTTACCAGTTGCACCGCAGCGACGGACACCACATCAAGGGAGTTCTCATAACCACCAAAATCCAACTCTAGCCTTAATAGCAGAAAAGGAAATTGCAGCTGGTAGTATAGCGGTAATTAGACTGAAGCTTTCATTCAGCGCCGCCTCGTTACCATATATGCTCATTCAAATGTATGTAGATGTGGGAGAACTGTTCTGTCAAACACACTTCCAAGGTTAGAAGGTGTCTTCAGTGAGATATCCATATCGTACCAAGTTACTTTAATGTGATCAGTTGCAATCACAGTGACTACAAAAGGTCGTTTGGTTCTTATGTTTTGGTAGCAGCCAATGGCCAGTATGCCAGTAGCGATAATAGACACCTAACAGAGATTGAAGCTATCTTGCTCTGGTTAACGTACCTGACTCTCCTTGCAGTTGCACTGGAAGCAGTACAGCCAAGATCAGACACATCCTTGTTGGGTTATACTTTCCTAGTTTTCTCAAAATTAGCTCATATATTCCTACAATAAAAGAGAAATTCTAAACGGGGTGAGACATTTGTCAGAAATCTCAGACTGCATAAACAAGCCTTTTTATAATACTAACCTACTTGGCCCCTTATGTCAATCTTTGGTTGTCTGGGTCCCTTTAGTATTTTTGAGTTTAAACATTTGAGACTTTGTTTCTGCATGATCATCATTGACTGTAGCTTCATTTTAGGATTTTAGGAAGAAGGGGCACCTGCAATGAAAAATGGGTAAGGCTCCTTTCAAAGAGACACATCAAGCAATTCAGTAACATCTGTAAGCACTGTCAAAACAAAAAAGTTTGAGTACCTTCTCATGTTCCGATGATCATTCTCCTTCTAATGTGGTCAAGTATATGTGTACAACAATTTCCAACTATAGTATGGCTGAATTTTTCTAATAATCTTTGGAACATGACAATGTTATGGTCCAGTCAAATTCAATGAGTGTGGCTTCTTTACCTTAAATTCAGTGATTTGTCATATGAACAATGAAGATATCAGAGAGTTGCACCTTGCAAAATACCTGTATCATGTAAAGATGACATACTGAATTACAACCAATGTGGGATAAGTTAATTTACTCTCCTTTGAATATATTCAACCAATGCATATTTTTTCTAGATGATGTTATTACAGCAGTTACCAGAGTTAAAGTTGTAGCTATAACTGAAAAAAGAAACAATAAACAAACTAACATGGCTGTCAAGCAAGCCTGAAACTGCTTTTAACTTGGTTTTCAAAATATAGTCTATTCACTGCAATACTACTGCAGAATACATATCTGTGTTTATGAATATTTCAAATGAAACTTCACATGGGAACTTCACCATTACAAAATCTAGCTATCCTCAGGGTGGAATATAATTGGTGAAAGAAATAAAACTTAGAACACTATATTCTGTGTTATTTAAGACTAGATATACATGAACAGTAATTTTGATATATGACAAGTCCCTACAGCAACTGCTGTATGTTGAAGGTATCAGTTTAATAAGGCCATATAAATATATCTGACTCTATATTTGATTTTATACATATAGTCTTCTGTACATCATAATTATAATGTATATATGTTAAATATATTTACATGGAAATAACAGTTCAGTAATGTAGCAAAGTTTGTAAATATTTATTAGACTGCATAAACAATATACATTAATTATCTACTGTTGTAATAAAAAAAAAAATCAAGCTACATCAGTTTCTGCTTCCGGTAATGTAAATGTAAAAGTAAGATCAGAGTTGGCCAAATGTCTCTTTTCCCATTCTTCAAAGGCTGCGACTTCTGCTTCAGTCATATGATTCTGCCAATCACCTACTTTACCTGTTAAAAGATATAAATGCTTAACTCAAGGGAGGGGTGTCTGCTCTAAGTAGTCTTTATCATAAATGAAGTAACAAAATATACTACAGATTTTATACGATACCAGTTTTGGCTAAGCAGACATTCAATGAGGCATTTTATCTCATTCTACTCATTAAAAAAAATAAACAAGATCCAATTAATGATTACCTTTTCTTAGGAATTTTCCTTTATCCTTGTGTGCAAATCCCAGATCCTTCCAATGCTCATAATTCACACTAGCATTTGCAGACATAGACTTAAATGATGTTGAGTGTGCTATGTGTTCCACATCTACATCACACACTTCCACCTTTAGAGATGAATAATAGAAAACAAGAATAAATGAGTCTCGTAAATGGCCACTGGCTTGAAGAGAAATATAAGCAAATATTATTGTAAAAAAGTGTTTCAACTGTAAAACAGCTTTATATTTACCTCTAAAAATTCAGCAATTTTCTTAATTATATTTACAGGGTCCTTAAGAAGGTCTTCATATTTAACAAACATAATATTTGACTCTTCCCGCCGTTTCCAGTAACCCAGTACATGGTCAAAGAAAGGGCTATACATAACTGTAACCAGAAAAAAAATTGTTTGACATGAGCATTATAGATACAATTTTTTTTCCCATATTTTGGCTTCTATTTATCCATCTTTTCATACAGTTTCAGCAGAAACATATTTAATCTTACCACAAGAACAGTAACAGTAACAAAAACAAGTATGATTATCAACATTCATGGTACGGGATTTACAAATAATGAATGTTTCTGTACTAGGTAACCTGCAGCTAGGCTAATAGCCAATCAAGCTCCATTGCATCAGAGACCCAAGTATACTACACACTAAGCTATATAAGAATGTTTTAGAAGAAATATATCCAGCAGAAAATTCTTGTACTGTACTAAGATTCTTGAATGAGGTAGAAATATTTACTTTTCTAAATAGGACCTTGACAACTCTTGCTTGCTGAATGAGAAGAATAGTATTAAGTATAATAAATCTTTACATCAGGAACACTAGCAAAAAATAAAGAAGTGTCCAAAATGAAAAGCACAGATAACTCATTAGTTTACCCATATCAGACAGGAACATCTTGAAGAATGTGGATAGACTTCCCTGGTAGCTGCAAGCAGTCAAAAGTTTCATGAAGTGGAAGTAGGAGACAGCTGCATCACGAGGATTACGGGTAATGTAAATCAGCTGGAAAGGTAAACACTTAGAATTAGATACCACAACTTACCATCTATTTCTCTTCCAGGCAATAAATCAATCTTTACACTCACACCCACATATACACGGACATAAAAACTCACTCTTTCCTTCCCCCTCTGTTTCTCTCCCTTTCCCTCCCCTTCACTTTCTATCCTTTCCCTCCCTCCCTCATATGTGCAATATAGCTGTAAGCAGAGTAAAATGAAGTTAAAAGTAATAGGGGCTAAAATACAGCTCATCCATGAAGTTGTATAAACATGCATGTCACACTGAACATTACCTTTGCATTACTATTGTCAAATGAAGGTGGTAACAATGCCAAAGGCAGGTGGGTCTTGATCAACCGTGGTCCTGGTTTGGCAGCAACTGACTTTATGCCTGGATATGGGTACTCCAAATAGGGACCCTCTGTCTCTAATAACCTCATTTGCTGCACCAG